CCCTCCCCTTCTAGCCCTTTAGACATGCCAGAGGGCAGAGAGGATTGGGGGCGGGAGAGGCGATCTTTCCTTTATTTCCCTTTGCCCACGTCAGTTGATGTTGGCAAAAAATCAGGAGTTCGGGAACACCTTTCCTGACTGACCCATGTTGTCCCAGGCCTTCGGTTCTCTTTCCCGGCCCCCTTCCCCCCAGCGAGGCTTCTCCCAGCCTCTGGCACCTTCGCTGTGCTTCTGCTGCAGGTGGACTCTGAAGGCGTGTTTTGAAAAATAAAGCGAAGCCCTAACCCTGCTTTCCTCCATCTCCCGGCAGTGTTTTTTCTCCTTCGTTGCATCCCAGGTTCGCTCCTATTTGTTCAGACTTGCCTCAGCGGAATGGGGTGTTCCTCTGGCGACCAGCCATTACGCTACACCAAAGTTCAACCACTGCCTGGGACCAGCTGGGGGTGCCTGAATGAGGAAGGAGAGCCCCAGTTCCTTGTATCTGAATTTTGGGTGCTGCCTCCTTTATTTGGTTAACCAAGGCATCCCCTACAAATCAGACAGAGTAAACTTCTGCTACGGTCCATTCTCTTCCTTGACATCCCAGTTATCTCTGAGCTTATGACGAGTTTCTTTTTCTTTTTTAAGTTGGGGTGGAAATCAACACTGGTTTGGGGCACTCGTGAAACTGACTTGGCTATTTACCGCCAAATTAATTCCAAAACCGAATGCATTCTTGAAGAATGTAAATAATAAGTGGTGAAGAAGGAAGCAGGGCCCCACTTTGAAGCTCTGTGTAATCCCCCCCCCCCGCATCTCTGGCCTCTGACAGGCAGTCAGTGGGTTGAATTAAGCAGAGCAGTTAGGAAGCTGCAGCCAGGAGCTGAAGAAGGTCCTGGAGGCTTCTCCCTGTCCCCCTAGGTCTCCAATGCAATCCCATTTCAAAACTAATTTGAAATTCTGCTGTTTCCGAGCCGCGGAACTGTTGTTTGGGGAGGATGACAGGCCCCTGGACTTGGATGCTCAAGTTAAACCACAGCTTCTTCACTTCCTGGCTGTGGAGACTCTGGTTTTTTCAACGGCCCACACCTTCTTTTCCAGTGCACCCTCTCTGGCAAAGCCCAATCACCATCCCTGGAGGCAGCCGGCAGTCTCCCATCAATATCCAGTGGAGAGACAGCGTTTACGACCCTCACCTTAAACCTTTGGAAATACGCTACGACCCGGACACTTGTCTCCACATGTGGAACAACGGATACTCCTTCCTGGTTGAGTTTGAGGACTCCACGGATAAGTCAAGTAAGAGCCACTGAAGTTACGGTGTACGCTGAGGTTGCAGACGCTGAACGTAGAAGCAGCGACACGAAAAGCAAGTTAGCGGAAAGATTTCAAAATCCGGGTAACTCGGAGAAGTGTAGTAGACGTGGTCACGCTTGGGGGGTGTCCGTGTGCACTTTGCACCATCCTATATTTTGGGGTTGCGATGCCTGTGTCCCAATAGCTTAGCAGGGGGAAATGTAATACAGCTGATGGGTCTTTCTCGGTATGACCCCTCAAAGTTGTTCTGCCTGCTCAAAGTCACTTCCACGTGTAACATAGCTACGGTTTAGAAAATTGTTCATCCTCCTCCCTGTACAGGGCATTTTCCTGAAACCTCCGATACCCTTTGCTCAATTTTACTCTGGCTTTTGTGGCAGGAAGTACAAGATGCCGACTGAGTGGTTTCATAATGCATGTCCTCTGATGAAAGGTGTTCGATCCAGCAATCTATTAATGAAACGTAAAGCTGGTTATCACCTTGACTCAGCTGACAGATAAGCTTTTTGAGTAATGTACTGAAAGTATCTAAAAGATAGGGCCTCCCTTTTTAGCAATGCATGTCCTGCTGTTGTACTCCTTGAAATATATTATCTTGAAAGGAAACAGGTCCTGGCCAAGCTTTGCACGAGCCTTGTTTCTCTCTCACTCTCTTTTTAAGGAAGGAAAAAGATCAACTTTAGTAGCTGACTTAAACAATGTCTTCTACGCTTCTACAGCTGTACTCTTTCCATTAAATAGGAACCATATTGCGTGTGTAAGCAGAAATTAAGGGAACCCCTTAATGGCTTGGCACGATTGTGAACCTTTCCAGTCTGTGCATCAGCTTCATGCTACTCATATATTAAATTCTGCTTTGAGAAGTAGGGTACAAATGTTTTAAGTAAATAAATCCAGGGCTGGGCAACGCTTCAGGTTTGAAGGCAAAATGTTGAACCGATGGGGCGCAAAGGTAGTATTTGTCTGCAAATCCTTAAAGCAGCTGTGCCTGTTTTGGGGAGGTGGTAGTGGCAGCCGACACAGTCTCAGGAAAAGGTGGGTTTGGGCCTTTGGGCGCTGTGGCTCGACCTTTTTGCCTTTGAATCCAACACACCACACATCCTGAGTTCCTAGTGGCCTGATGTTGCTGAACTACAGGTCCCAGCGTTCCTTGAGCAGCACCTGTTTCCCGCGCTGGGCTTCAGTTCCTGCAGAGAGAAATTGCACCGTGTGAGGGGCTCTGCATCCTCTCTCTTGCCCTCCTCGGCAAGCCTTCCAGGGTGGCATATCCCCGAATGAGATAACTTTGCTCATTTTAATCCCCACTTTCGCCCCTCTCTTCCCCCAGTCCAGCATGAGTTGAATTGCATTATTTGGATCTGAAGTTCCGGATAGAAACCTAAAACAGTTTCTTCCTTTGGGTTGCCATCCTCCAGGAGTGCTCCACCGCAGCATTTCTCAACCTTGGCCACTTTAAGAGGTGAGGACTTCAACTCCCAGAATTCCATGCTGGCTGGGGAACTCTGGGAGTTGAAGTCCACACTTCTTAAAGTGGCCAAGGTTGAGAAACACTGCTTTACCTCAACCATCCTCCAGTGGTTTTTTTTTCCTTTATGTTTTTTTTTCCTGAAGCATAAATGCTTATATTCACTCTTCTTTCTTCTTTGCTTTTAGTGCTGTCTCCTTCTTTTAGTTTTTGGGGGGGCTTCTCTCTCTCTCTCACTCACTCACTCACTCACTCACTCACTCACTCACCTTGCTTCTGCCCTTCGAGAAAAATAAAATTAGAGAAGAGGAAAAATGGATTTAAGCTAAAGCGGAGAAGGAGAGACAATGCGGGAAGGTAAGTCAACGGGCGTAGAAATGGGGTACTGGACAAGATGTCCCTTGGATCTGTGGCCAGGATGAGAGTCGATTGGCTGCAGGGCACAGGATGGAAGCAAAGCAGTGGGCATGTGACGATGGGGCTGCTTGTGTTCTTGCCATCTGGTGGTTGGCAGAGAACGTGGAACGGAATGATGTCGTGGCTCGTGGGCGGCAGAGTTTCCAAAATGCCGAGGAGAGGCTTCATCCCCAAGCTATGGAAACCTTGCAGATTGCCAGGGCTGAAGCCAGTGAAAAAGCCGCACCCTGTTCTGGTCCCCCCGCCCTTAAGTAGAAGTTTAGCATCTACTTCTGGTCTTTGACCCAGGAGAGAGGCAACCGATCCATCTGGAATGTGGTTTGAGTCAGTATTTCAAGTTTTTCCCTCGTTCTGGGTCTCATGTGAAGGTAAACAACTGCGTTTGGCACCGCACGCCCTTTGGCCTCCACGAGAGGGCAGCCGCGCTCAGCCTTTTTCGTAATTCTCGGAAAATCTCAAAATGGGGAAAAAACAGGAAAGGGAGAAACGCTGCTTCGGTTCTGCCAGGCTACTGAGAAATCGTATTGGTCTGTCCAGTACTTTGATATTCTCTTCTATTCTCCAATATTTTAACCTAGCTGAAAGATGCAACTGCTGTTGGAATGACAAAAATTGGTTCACGGGGGTGTCCTCCTGTAAGAATTTAACCCCTCCAGCTTTGGTCTCTGATTGGAGAAAACTTTAGGCCAGAAAGTAGGAAAGTCTAGATTTGGCTTCTTTGCTTAAAGCATCAGTTTTTGATGTTTCAGGCTTAATTTGCTCCCGACCTCCCTGTAGGGCAGTGTTTCTCAACCTTGGCAACTTTAAAATGTGTGGACTTCAACTCCCAGAATTCCCCAGCCAGCGTGGCTGGCTGGGGAATTCTGGAAGTCCACACATCTTAAAGATGTCAAGGTTGAGAAACACTGCTATAGAAGGGAGGAACGTATTAAAACACCGTTGCTGGAATTTGGCAGCAAATGTCGTAGACCTCGCTTTCATGGAAACGTATTTGGCTGCTGGGCTCCCAAAATTGTTCTGGCTTTTGTGTGGTGACCAGTTATTGGTCAGGACGCCAGAAACCTCCCTGGAAAGATCATGAATCAATGAAGGCTCTATCTTTAGTCCCTGTGGATGTAAGCATCCTTGTACTACCTGCACGAGCCATTCCAGAAGGACACATCCACTCAAATAGGGCCAGTTTGGTCTAGTGGTGAAGGCTCCAGGCCAGAAACCAGGAGATGGTGAGGTCTAGTCCCACCTTAGGTGTGAAAACCAGCTGGGTGACTTTGGGCCAGTCCTGGTCTCTCAGCCCAACTCACCTCCAAGGGTGGTTGTGGTGGGGAAAATAGGCGGAGGAAGGGGTTCTTAAGTATTTTCGCCACCTTGAGTTATTTATAAAAATAATAAAGTCAGGATAAAAGAAAAATGTAGAGGAATCCATGACATGCCAAGTCAATTTTCTCCTAAAATGGCAGTGTTTGTTTTAGTCAGAACCGGGTGGTGTCAGCCCCGCTAGCTAGACCAGACCGGGAAATCAACTCCGCAGGAAAGCTAAAACTCCTTTGACTGAGACGGGCTCCAATAACCGAATCTTGCGAGTCGGATTGTGCTGAACCTCCTCCCTTTTCTTATATTCCAGCGAATCAGGGAGGTGCCCGCCTGAGCCTCTTCCAGACGTTATCGTAGTTCTGGGTTAAAAAAATGTTTCGGCCCCTTTTGCCTAGACAGTAGTTCCTGCATATCTCCATCGAGGTCCTCCTCCTGGCTCTCTACGGGCGGGCACCCAGCGAGCCTCTCTTGTGGCCCCCTCCACAATGATCAAAATTAGGCAGTATCTCTGCACTATTTTTCAGTGCAAAACACTGCACGACTGTAACGTAAGCCCCGAAGAGCCCTTTCACTGCCTAAAACAAACGCACGCGAGAAGTCCAGAACCCAGGCCCCACTCGGGAATGACACGGACCTCTCCTCCACACACGCAGCCCCCTCCTCAAGGCCTGCCTTTTCTTCACGACAGTTATAACAGGCGGTCCCTTGGAGAACAACTATCGGCTGAAGCAGTTCCATTTTCACTGGGGAGCCGTCAGCGACTGGGGCTCGGAGCACACCGTGGACTGCAAGGTGTTCCCGGCCGAGGTAAGGGGAAGACCTGCTGAAGGTCAGCGTGGATGCTTGCAAGGCTGATGAGAGGATGGGATCTTCCCCCAGCCCTGCCAGTTTTTAATGTCTGGGGAAGCAGCATCTCATTCTGCGCCCAGGAACCGTGCGCCTCTTACCGCTCCCGGCGGCTTTACAACTTGCCGTCTGATTTTGCTATCAGCCTGGTGCATGGCGCTTCGTTGGGCTGCATGCAGACAGCGGTCCGGAGCATCGCCTTCCAAGGTGTCCCCGCTTTGAGGAGAGTTATAATTCCCCTTGTTTCTTCCAGCTGCATTTAGTTCACTGGAATTCTTGCAAATTTGGAAGTTTCGAAGAAGCTCTAATGGAGGAAAACGGCCTGGCTGTGATTGGAGTCTTCTTGAAGGTACGGCGGTGGTGGCAAAGTTGGAGTTATCCTATTATTCCTCCCAGTCTGTTCTCCTTTTCCTTACACAATAAGCACCATTTAAGTAACTAGGTTTATTTTGATTTCTTTGTGGAATTGTATGCAAGTGTGTGTTTATATTGCAATCATAGCATCAAGAATACAGTTGGGTGACTAGGCCAATTTTATACATAAAATGTTGAGGTGGGGATACAGGAAGGAAGGAGTAAACAGAGACAAAATAGACCTCTAGGAAGTGGGAGGAGAAAACCACCCTTGGACATAATTCCTTACTGCAGCAGATAAAGAAACTTCTCTGCAGAGAGCCAACTACTTTATTTATTTAGGTTTTTTTTTTCTTGAGTGGTCTTTCAGAGAAGCAGTTGGTGGGGAAATGGGTGGGAGCAGGAGATCAGAAAACAGTTGTTCTAAAGTTTATCAAGGAGTAAAGATGGAATTGGAGCAAAACCTTTAGATCTGAATCCAAGACATATCTTTGCTTTGGCAGCTCGGAGCCAATCACGGTGGCCTGCAGAAATTAGTAGATGCCTTGCCATCAATTAAATACAAGGTAAGATGAAAGTCAACCTGAATCGTCTGAGGGGTAATAACGAGTTTGCTGCCAGCCTCACGTTCTACCCAAAGCCACGGCTCTGGTGAACTTCTCTGACCACCGCCCAAGTCTCTTTCCTTCACGCTGAAAATCTCTGGGTTCTGCTCTTGAAGTTGTAGCGCATGATGTACACAAACGGATGTGACATTTTCAGAAGGCTGTTAGCAGGTTGGAGAGGGTTCTGAGGAGAGCAGCAAAGGTGACACAGGGATTTGAGGACAGGCTGAAGGAACTTGGGAGGTTCAGTCTGGAGCAAAAAAGGCTTAGGGAAGACATGATAGTTGTGTTCAGACACATAAACAGAAGATTGAGAATATGGTCGAGAACTATTTTCCATGGCCACTGAAACTAGGACCAGAAATAATGAGTCTAAGTTGCAGCCACCTAGATTCACGTACGCATAAAGTAGAAAATCCTGGTGGTAAGACCTGTACAACAGTCAGTTTGCCAGGTTCTCCATCTTTGAAGGCTTTTAAGAAGAAACTGGATGGGCATTCTCGAGGATAGTTTAATCAGTTTTCCAGCACATTAAAGAAAGTTGGACCTTGTGGTCCTTCCCAACTCTACAGTTCTGTGATTCATGTTCTCTCTCTCACTCACTTACACGTTTCCTTTCTATTTTTCATTTTTAATCATGATTTTTGTACTGATAGATACACTTTCATTTGAGTTGTTCTGTACCTGAGATCTGATATTTTGATTTGGTGGTAGTTGCTTTTAGTGCCTTCGCTAGGTAGAATGGAAAAATCTAATATTGCGGCCACTCAAAGCCACGCGCACATATGGCTGCATCCAGGTCTCTCTCCTTGCAAATGTGTTGGTTTTTGAGAAAGCGATGCTGCGAGGACAGGTCAGAAAGCAGCAAAGAGGCTGATGAAATTAAGGCTGGGGCCTGTATTTTGAACAGGATGACCATTGGCCTCTGGCCTACTTGCCTAGAATGCCCCTTCTGTTCAGAAGAATCAGAGGATCTTCTTTCAACCCTTGCTTCCTAAAAGCGTAAGAAGCAAGATTTAGACACAACAATGGGTGGGCACGCGAGGGGATTTTTTCTCTATGCTTCGAACACCCAAGAAGGTGTTCACAAACAGGGAACATCTTACAGGTGCCCCAAACTAACCATGTTGCTGTTGGTGGAATTTCTTAGGATTCTCTGGTGGAACTTGAGGAGTTTGACGCTTCCTGCTTGTTGCCCTCCTGCCCAGACTATTGGACTTACTCAGGATCTCTGACCACCCCACCCCTTTCAGAGTCAGTCACCTGGATCATCAAGAAGAAAGCAATTGAGGTGGATGAAGATCAGGTTTGTCAAGGGGGAGCCACTGTGTTACCAGGTTTGGGAAAGTGGAAGGAATAATCCAATCCAAAATCATGCTTAGCAGCAACATATTGACAGGCTTCACATTTTGCATTAAGCTGTGGTTTGTTTCAACCATAATTTATGAAGTAAACTCCAGTGGTTTGGTTTGTGCATAAGGGCAAGTCATAAACAGTGGTTGGTTTTATACATCATGCTAAGCCCTAGCCAAACAAATGATATTATGGCTTCATCCAGGATCCTCTTGTGAAAGAGGTGCAAAGTAGCCAGGCTGAAATCAAGAAAAGATGAGCAGAAAGTTGATCCACAGCTAGTGTAGAATAAACTCCTGCTGAGTCAGTTTTCCCACTTTAATCACTTTTCTTCTTGCAAGGTACAACAAGGCACTTACGTGTGGGTAAGGGGAGGGAAGACAATTTGGCTGGCTTGGGATCAGCAGGATGAAGAGAAACAAATCACAGTTGGATGCCCACCACACTGGCTGGTGGCGACAGGAGTTGTACTCTGGCATATCTAGATTGGTGTCAGCTAGGTTAAACATTGCAGTCACTGGGTCTTGGGTTGGGGGTAGCTAAATCCAGAAAGCTAGAATTCAGGGGCAGGCTAAGAATGCAGAAAGATTGGAGGCCACCACCTTCTGCAGTCCCGTTGTGTCCTCAAGACTCATCACCTATCCCACAAATGCTTTTGTTGAATTTGGAGGCTCCTGTGGCCAGTGTTGGCCGAGAAGGAGACCTTTCCAGGAGCTCTTGAGAGCTGCAGGTTCCAGAAGAAAAGGAAGAATGAGAACCCCCTTTCCTTGCTCTCCCTTCTCCTGACTGCTGTTCCTCCTCCCCAGCTCGAGGTCTTCCGGATGCTCCTTTTTACTTCGGCGGAAGAGGATGAGAAGAGGATGGTGGACAACTTTCGTCCACTGCAGCCCATCATGGACCGCACAGTCCGTTCATCCTTTCAAAAGCATTTCTGGCTGGACATGGAAAAGCAATCGGAGGACCAGATGTTCAGTGTCCGTGAGCAAGGGCCCCTTCAGGGCACTCTGCATCTTTAAGGGGCTAAATGTTATGTGCGCTTGACAAGTAATTTAGCATAAGGCTGGGTGGAAGGTCTGTTGCTTCAAGGGGGATGAGAGATTTCTGGTCCTTCGCTCTTCCAAAAGGCTGCTCTTTCCTGTAGCATGAGAACCACGTGGACTTAAGTCTTCTCCCAGTAACATTTCAAAACACCAGTTAGCATCCCAAGCCTCATCTACTGTCCAGGTGTTTCTCCATCAGCAGATGCTGCGTTGGAGGAACTGAACGTGGGGATGAGGCCTCCCAGGGGACCTCTGAGGAACCAGGCAATCTGCAAAGCGGGACTGTTCTTGGAAGAGAGGAAATGTATACAATTTGGCAAGAGGGGGTACTTGTTTTTGGTTTTGAGCTAGTTTGCCCCAGATACCAGGATGATAACAACCTGAATTCCCAGCTGTTCTGGAATTATAGTATTAACGCATTTGAGGGCCATCCTGTTGCAGAACCCTTTCCAGGTGATCTAAGCCTATCTACCTCTAAACTCTAGCTCTAACCTTATAGCAGTTCCCCCCAGCCCTTTTCCTGTCTCTTGTACAAGCAAGAGGCGTGTGGTTGTGGCCATCTGGGATCTGGGAAACCGGATGAGACCTTTTCTCCCTAAACCAGCAGATTTGAATGGATTTCAGGCTAGGATCCAGCCATGCGCACTTGGAAGGAAATTCAGCTAACATAGGCGAGGCATAACTTACAAGGAACTATGTATAGGATGCACGTCGTATCTTAAGTATATGTACTTATTGATGCATAACATCTGCCAGATCTAAATATGCATATTTTTTCGCTCTGTAGCAATGGCTTTTTTAAAAACAAACACACACACATTAGAGCCTACACGGTGCCTGACCACGTGGAAGATAGCCAGCCCACTGTGGCTGCCTGCTAAATCTTCTGCTGAGGTTGGGGAGAGCACAGTCTGCGCCTTAACTGATCAGAGGCGTTCAAAATTGAAGTCTTTATCAGTCATGCAGGGTTAGGGTTTGTATGTTGCAACCCTAGCTTGTATGCATCCGAGCAGAAACAAATCAACAGGCCTTAAAAAGTCTTAGAGCAAGGGTTTTCATATTTCTTTTCAAGCTGCAGAACCTGTTCGTGGAAAAAGGCATTCCCAGAACCCTTGCTCAAGAGGCCATTTTCTAGGGATAGAAAATTGGTTGAATCTGAGTGAATTTTGTTTTCTCCACTCGGTTTCCCACAGAACCTCGTCAGGTTCAAAAGCGGTTTTTGATCTGGAGAACCATGGTGTTTCACATGAGGATCCTGTTTCTGCCTGCATTGTTTGACGTGTACATTGAGGTTGCTCTTGTAAAGCGTTGCCACCTAAAATGATCACTTTTACCTCCCCCCCCCCACTTTTTCCCTAGAGCAGTGTTTCTCCACCGTAGCAACTTCAAGATGGGTGGACTTCAACTCCCAGAATTCCCCAGCCAGCAATGGGGATGTCTCCATAGACATACTGAGATGGCTTAATTTTAAGAAAGTTTAGAGCAGCCTTACCCAGCCTTGTTGGCTGAGAATGATGGGCACCGTGTCCCCAACCTCTGGAGGGAAGGTGGCTCAATTTGGCCTGTAAAATGATGCGTTTTGCCCCTCAGAAAAAATAGCTTTTAGATCCATCTGTGTTAACGGGACACACAGTCGGGAGATGTGGGTCGGGAGCCTTCTGCCTCAAGAGCGTCTTTGTGATTGATTTTTAGCTAGAACTGATTTATTTCCCTGAAAGTTCTTGGCCTATTTGCTTTTCATATCAGAGTTTTATATATCCTAAGTCCTTTTTCCTTACATGTGGAAGAATCAGAATAGGCAGGCTTGAGACATCAATGAGTCCAGAGTTTACAGAAACGGTGCAGAAAGGAAATTTAAGCTGTTACACATCTTTACAATAACCGGTTGGTGCACCTATTAAACGTAATATATATTTATGAAGTCCCGTATCTGGTGTCCAGAAGTTATTTCAGCTGTATTTGGCTTGGGAAAGAGGAAGGAGGGCAAATGAATTGTTTCATTGTGTGGGAAGCCACCGCAACTAGATAAAATTTCTCCTGAAATGCATTCAGATGGAGAAACAATACCGTACTGTTTTGACTGCAGCCCTTGTTAAGGAATAATGTAACGGTTCATTATGGTCTTGGAGTGCAGGAAATATGTCCTCTCAACACAAATGTGCTGTGTTTTGAATGCCATTGTGATGGCCTGTTTGCTTGAGCGGGTCCTATAAAAGCAGCCCTGCAAATTTCTCTGTGGAGCAGCTAAATTCTGCAAAAGTCCAGTTTTCAAAACACAGAGGCCTTCCAAGGGGAGGTCTGGGGGGGGTCATTGGATGGGGCTGGCTTCTCACCCTCCTTTTGCAGCCAAATATCTTGAATTCAGGAAGCTGAAGGTTGATAAAGTGGCCCGAAACAATGTTATGGGCTTCACTGCAGACTCACCAGAGAGGCTGAAACAGCCCATGGGCCAAACCAGGATTTTCTAGTTTTTTTCCATGGCGGGGCAATGGCTGGCTTTTCAAATTCCAGGAGACCTATTTAAGAGGTTACCCAACACTTTTCCGGTGTTTCCTGCCTTGGGAAATGCGTAGCCAAGTTCCCCTCCTGTGCTCAGTAGGGGTGTGTAGGAGAAAGAGAGGCTCACATCTCTACTCTTCTGCAAATGCGGTCCTTTGCGAAGACGTCTACACCGAGCCCCAGTCCTGGGAGGAGAAGAGAGTTCCTTGGCTGTGTGCAACCCCTCTGGAGCTGGGCTGAGGACCCAAGGGAAGACTGAACTTGAGGAGCCCTTAACGGTTGACCTGCTCCAGTTGCTGCGAGGCTGGCCAATAGCTTGCTTTTGGAAGAAGCCTGTTGTTCTCTAGTAACCGCTGCCTTATCTCTTGGCCTTGGGCTTCTTTGCTTTTGCTTTGGGGATAATTATGGGGCGGGGGGGGGGAAGAAAGTTCCTTTGATGCGACAAGCTCCCTTGGCACAGGGAGTGGGTGTGCATCGTCAAATCCCCTTAAAAGGCTTTGTGGCTGGACACAGAGGAATAGCGGGGAGAGCACCTGGAAGAGCTTTTCCCGTGTTTTTCACCAACGCTCCAAAGCCGGGTGTGCCGAAGGATCAGCTGCCCCTTGCCTTGGCAAAGCAGGCATGAAGGATCCGGGGGAAGGCAGGAGCAGAACGGCTGGCTTGGACACCAGTGTAAACTTGCCATGGGAATCTGTGAAAAGCCTTGGCAAGCAGCTATAATTTTTTTAGATTTTTTCATCCCGCCTTTCTTATTTTTATAAAAAACTGAAGGTGGCGAATGTACCTAATACTCCTTCCTCCTCCTATTTTTCCCACAACAACGCTTTGAGGTGGGTTGGGCAGAGAGAGAGGGACTGGCTCAGAGTCACCCAGCCGGCTTTCACACCTAAGGCAGGACTAGAACTCAGAGCCTCTTGGTTTCTAGCCTGCTGCCTTCACCACTAGACCAGACTGGCTCTCAGTTTGTTCTAGTTACATTCCTTTTTCTATAAAGATTTATTTCGTTATGTCCCTTTCTGTATAAATAGAAAAGTTATTTCTGTAAGTGGAAAGAATAAATAGAAAACTATTCTAAATAAGAAAGAAAGAATGTTATTTCTTACTCTAAGAAATAATACATTTCTATTTATTTTACTTTCTATTTATTACGTACTCTTATTTTCTGTAAATAGAATAGTTACGTTTCCTTTTCTATAAAGATTATAGAAACGTTTTCTATAATGTTCCTTCTCCTATAAAGATGGGGCTTTGCATCATCTTGCACAAAGCCACAGCTGGTCTGAACTCTGCCAGGGGAATCACTACAACTAGCGAGGCTCCCACATCATGTGTAGTCATAAACCACGTTTTACGAATCGCGGTGGTTTCGCGCATGCGGAGCCCAAACCCAACAATTCATATTTCAATCTAGCGTTTGAACCTGGTGATGAAGAAAGGAAATCATTCTCCATTTGAGCAGAGTGTTTTTTTTAAAAAAATAAATAAAGGTGCTATAAATGGCTATATAAATGGGATGTATAAATAAATAAATAAAAGCTGCTTCGCCCCATTCTTCTCTGCACTGGATCATTTTGATGACAAATTTAAATTCTGTTAAAATATACGATTATAGACCCCAAAGAGCTACAGCTAGGTCTCGATCAGCAGGGATAAGGAATCCCACCAAATGGTCGCATTATTCGAATTCACACGATTCAAAGGGATATTTCGATGGAAAATATGGAAATTGCTTCCAGCCCCCTAGAAATAGGCAATGAAAATTTTTAAACATGAATTTTTATATGTGTATTAATGAAATATTAATATGGATTGCCACCCTCAATCCATGCAGTTAAAAGATGCTCTGTTTCCACCACTGTAACGCTTCTATTCCTTGTCGACGTTTTCAAACCACCAAAAAGGAATGCCACATTTTATTTCTCCTGCGTGTTTTATCGTATTGCATTCCGTAAATTCAGGCATTCCAATATCTTGCCCTATTTTGCATTGCTATGACCGCATTCATGCCGTTCACTTGCATCCAATTTTTGCTCTCCGTCTCGCACCCACGAAGATGAACGGCGTCTAAAACCCCACGTGCAACCAGGCCTGCCCCAGCCTCAATTGCGCGTGCACCAGCCTCGCATTAACTGAATTTGGGGTCGCATTAAACGCGATTTGCCATCCCTTGACAATTCGCATGAAATTGAATCTCGCCGTATTCGAGCTCTCCTTCATCATGACCGAGCTGGGCTTGGATGACGGACGGCTGGTTCAGGCGTGCACTTATGAGGCTGGCAAGCTCTGCGCAACTGAGCATTACAGTGTTTGCCTCTTCCAGCCTTCCCATTTCTGGAATTAATGTTACTAACTACATGGGCAAAGCAAGGTTTGCTCAGTCTGTGTGCATAGAGCGGTGTTCCTCCACCGTGGCCCCTTGAAGACAGGTGGACTTCAACTCCCAGAATTCCCCAGCCAGCATGGCTGGCTGGGGAATTCTG